ACATGAAGCGAGAGATGGCGCGGAGGATAGACAAGGTTATCGAGGATGCATTACAAGGGACTGGATTCACCTTTGCATCTCATCCCAGGCATCGGTGGCTCGGGACCTGCAAGCTAACCAAAGGGTGATAGGAAATATTCAAGAGCAAAGTTAGTGGTTTGATGGAAGTATTCATCTTGAACTCGGTGTTGTTTAGTAGTGATAGTTGTTTTGGCAAGTTGGTTCTAGGGTTGAGATGTTCTTAGTTGCTTTAGTTGTTAGATAGTTGCCAGTCAGGTTGTGTTGCTAGTTAGGCCGTTTTTGACCAAGTTGGGCTCAGGTTTGAGCAAGTAGGGGCAAAGTCGTTAGGTGTTCGGGTATTTCTAAAGTTGGTCGGGATGAGTGGTGCACTCTCCCGGTTGGTGGTTTTTGGGCCTGGTTTCACTAAAAAACTGAGCCGAACACTTGTATTTTTATTTTCTCCGTCTAATAAAATTGCGGCAAAGTTTTTGCCGTCCTTCAAAAAAAACTAGTTTGGTCAGTATTGCTGCTTGCTGGTCGCAGATACCATACCACCTATGGTGAGCATTGTGCTTCAGAGTGATTGTTGGAAAATATGGACTCCATCCTGCCGGGAGTTACTTTATGTACAAATCATTTGTATAATAATAACTTTGTTGCAAATCATAGTTTGTGGCATCTTGTCGCACAAAAACAGTATGCATTATACTATGTAAAATTCATGCAGTTGGCCAAAACGAGTATTCCACGAAAGAATAAGTAAAAAAAAACATTTATAATTAAAAAAGAGAAGAAAGAAAAGAAGCAAACCAAATGAAACCAAAGAATAAATTCATGGCGTGCGCGGATTCCCAATTGGGCCTGACGGGCAGAATAGAAAAGAGAGCGTGGCCGGGGCGGCGAGTATAATATTGCCGCACGCAGACCGCGAGGACGAGGCGTCGCGGATTCCCAATTGGGCCTGACGGGCAGAATAGAAAAGAGAGGCGTGGCGGGCCGCCGGGGCGGCGAGTATAATATTGCAGCACGCAGACCGCGAGGACGAGGACCTCTCCGCGGCCGCCGACGCCCTCAGCAGGCCAGCCCCTGTTCTGTCTCCAAGCATTGCGGGTTTGCAGTTGCAGCTGCATCTGGAGAAACGCGGGAAGTTCGCCGGCCGGCGACAGGCCCTGCCTCCACGTCGTCGCGGCGTGTGTGTTCTCGCCAGGTGCACAGAATCCTTCCCATTCCCCTTCTTGTCATTCTCATCTCTCCCGCATTTCTATCTGGGGAGGTTTGCCAATTGGAAGCTGGAGACACTTGATGCAGTTCCTGTAACGATCGGCTCAGCCTAGGCCTCGTCAACGCTATTAGTTCATAGCTGGGTTTTGATGGGGAGATTTAACTTTTTACCATTATAAAGATTGGCACCTCCTCGGATAGCATCTCAACGGTTGCCGCTACATTTTCACCAAAGAAAGACATAAAAGAGATACAAAATACCACGTTTGCTTACGTGGCACGCCAGCCCTCGCGATGTTAGGATCCAAGTCAGCATATGGGCGTCAAATGTCTCTCCTACCCTACTCCTCCACCTCTTCCTCTCTGCCCACCCAGATTCGATCATACTCGTATCCACCACCTTGCCGGTCCAACCACGAGATAGGCGCGAGATCGGTCGTGGATGCTTGGTGGTCCATCACGCACGCCCCTCTGCCGGGCGAGCTCATGGAGCTGGAGCCGAAGCCGGCGCGCAGTCACGGGCGTGGTGCATGATGCGACGCTGTGTACGAGGATGAGGCGTGGACCCTACGGTGATGGACCCGTGCACGTGCCCTTACCGCTTTCGAGTGGTTGGGCCTCCGCCTGGGCGAAGCCCGCAAGCGGAGAAGCCTGGCGGCCGCCATCGTGGCGCAGTCACGCGCGCGCGCTCGCCACCACCGCCCGGGTCGCCCACCTTCCCGCGGGTTCAAGCAGCAGCTGCGCGGGCCACGCCCATGTGGGCCGAGTCCGACCGCTTCCCGGTGGCGGACGCGTAGCCGCCCGCTCCCAGACTTTACATCTCCTTCGGCATTTACGCCGACGTGACTAAGCAGAGCCTGCACGAGATCGCCGGCGGCGCGCTGGCCGCGCCCGCCGCCTATGGGTGATGCGCTCGACATCGCTGGCCCGACGACTCGGACCCGCCGCCGAGGGGTTCACCGCACCGCTGGGCGGGGCGGGGCTCGTGGTCCCGCGGTGCCGCCAGTGGAGGTAAAGCTCCCCACGCCGCCCGTGGCGGGCTTCCTCACGCGATCGCGGGCGGAACTCCATCTCGAGAGCGTGTGGGCGGCGGTGCCCATCTTTGTGCTTCCGCCGCCACGGACCGATCACCTACCGGCGCCGTGCGTGGAGTGGCGCGCGCCGGGCGTATCCATATGGGATCGCGACGCGTGAAGGCGCGGATCGAAGGGGTGATGGGCGGGAAGACGGCGTCAAGTTCGTGGAAGCGGCGAAGAAGCCGAGGGGCACACACTCGAGGCTACCGGGCGCCGGTGGCTCGTCATGGCGCAGCAGCGACGAAGTTCATGGATGAGCTCAAAAGCGCCGCGCGGAGGCAACCATCGATCCGCTTCGTCCGGGCACCGCTGGGCGCGGCGGCCGAGGCACGGTGCGAGCGCGCGCACCGTCGCCGGGCCAGGGCGCGGGCAATAGAGCGCCACCGCCTGGCCGGAGCACCGCCGCCGCCGGGCATGAGGTGCCGCGCTTTCTAGGTGCTCAAGGCTACCAGCAGGTAACATCGGGCGCCATGAAGTTGCCGCGCCGCAGAGAGTACGGGCGAAATTGCCAGCTGCATGGGTGGAGAGGAAAAGGGCAGGAGGGACATTTCACACGCCCTGTTGACTCGAATCCACGCTGGCATGAAGAGCTGGAGTGCCACGCAAGCAAAAATAGTAAATTTGTAGCTGTTTTCTCTCTGTGCTGGCGAAAATGTATTGGCATATGTTAAAGTGCTATTTGAGGAGGTGCCATTTGTTATAATGGTAAAAAGTTAAATCTCCTGCCAGATGCAGTCTGATCAACAACTGTTCGCCTCTGCTGCTGCTCTCCTCGAGGGCGACTCGGGCATCGCTTCCTCCCGCCACGGTAGGCCCCCCGCCTCCACGCCCTTCGCCGCTTGGCCAAGCTCGACGCGGAGGATGGCGGCGGTCAGTTCTTTCTCTCCTCCTCCTCCTCTATATATATCTCTCGGTGGAACTCCTGCTGCGTCTGAGCAGGGCGTCGGGGATCTCGCTTGCTCGCCACGGATCTGATCCCCCTCGTGAAAACCATCTTCCCGCGCGTGGAGTTGGTCAGGGCGCCGGTGGTGATGTGCGGGAGTGGGGACTGGTGCCGGACGGCGGCGCTCTCGTGTCGCTCAGCGGGCTCGTGGGCGTTGCCGGCCGTGGCGGCGGGCGGCAGATGCGATACCTGCGGCGCTTACGATGGCGGCGCCGTAGCTGGCCGGTTTGGCGTGCCCGGGTCGGCAGTGAGCCGGGTGGCGGCTAGTCGAGCTGCTCGTCTGCTGGGGCGGTGGCTTCAGCAATGCGCGTCGGCATGGAGCGCTGATCCGTGCTTTGAGGCAAGGGCGGCGCCCGTGATGGTGGGGGGGTATCGCGCCGTGGCTGTTGGCGGCGTTGTCGCCAGCCGGGACGGTGGTGGGTGCGTGAGCAGCGACGGTGGTCGTTGACGGCCTCGGCGCGGCGGCGGTGTTACGCGAGCAGCGGAGTCGTTTGGCTCACGTGGCCTGCCGGAAGGTGGCGGCCGACGCAGCTATGGCGCGGTTGCTACGCGCGGCCGGGCGTCGCCGATGCCCTTCTAAATGGGCTTCAGGGGCGGGACAACGGCGATGGCGGTGTTGGTTGGCAGGGTCCGAGCTTCTCGCCCGATGTTTGTGCTAGAGGGTTCTGGGCGAAAGTTATGGCATGATGGCGACGCCGGTGGCGCCGCTTCTGTTGGGGAAGCGTCGTGCTTTCCTTCTAGCACTAATTATTGTTGTGTGGTGCTTGGTCCGTGATTGGAAGTCAGAGTTGCTCTTCGTGGGGTGTTTGAGCTTGGTAACGATGACCGGTGGCGGGCCGCCGGTGGATGGCTAGTGGGTGGCTCGCCATGGGAAGTCGGAGCTGCTGGCAGCTTTTGCTGCCATGCTTTCAACGACGATGACCCATGGTAGTGTGTCGTGTTTGTGCTCAGCTTCCGAATCGTGTGGGTTGGTTAGCCCTTCAGGTGCGTTTTGGCATCTCGTCCGCTAACCTTCTTGTACATAATATTTTTCATCTTAATTGTTGTTTCAAAAAAAAGAGTCTATTTGTTAAAGTTCCAGAGAAGCTTTTAGGCTGAATGCAGGAGCTCTATCAAACAGTATTTTATAGTGAAGTGATTTTGTACCAACAGCTAGGACATGCTTTTATAGACGTATTTGCAGATTAAGATTTCTATTCTTGTGTTTGCACTATATATATGCTAGTTTTGCAAAGGTTGAATCAAATGGACAGTGTTGGGTTGCCGAGAAATTGCCAGAATTACAGCTCACTGCTCTGCTTGACGCTTGGCCTTTCATTTGAGCCGGCTTGCCTACTTCGGACTTTTGAGCAATAATTCAATCTTTTGCAAGAACTAGTGTTGTGCTAAATTTCCGAACACCTTTGAAGCTTTATATCCTAGGATAGGATCCTTCCTGAGCAGTTCGGAGTGCAGCCTTGTTTCTTTCTGGGTACTTCTTAATGTGACTTGGACCTGTAGTATTGCTCACTGTTAGGTGACTTGCAATGCAATCGATTTCAGTGGTAATGTTCATTGAATCATGTCTGATCAGATGGTGATGATTATGTGTGCCTCCGTTGCTCTTTTATATCTCAGTTAACATCTTGCTGTTATCTATTTTAAGCTGAGATCAGGTTGTCTGATTACATCCGTTTTGTGCACCCTCGGCTCCATATGCAGGCTGAAACAAGCAACTGAGGTGACGTCTCTTTTGAGATACAGCAGTAGGCCAGCAAACGATGGCTTTCAGGCAGTCGGAGGACGATGCACAAGAAGGTGCAACGCCGGTGACAATGCATCACGCCAACGTAGCCAAGATCATCCTTCGCTGCCCCTGGAGATCAGGTGGCCACCGTTCCGGCTCCGCCATTACGCTGGCTTCTGGGTGCCAGAGGTAACAACATTGAAGATAGGCGTCCCGAACGTCCATTCCAGGTTCCAGCCGAGACCCACCGACGTGTTCCTTGTAAGCTACCCCAAGTCTGGAACCACTTGGCTTAAGGCCCTAGCCTTCGCAACGCTGAAGCGTTCCACACATCCGCCGTGCGACGACGACCATCCGCTGCGCCATTGCGGCCCTCATGACTGCGTCAAGTTCCTCGAAATTGGTATGAACACAGGGAATGAGTTTGATGCGCTTCCTCCCCCCGTGTGCTGGCTACGCACCTTCCCTACTCCCTGCTACCCAACAGCATCACAGGTGAGCACTCAGGGTGCCGGATCGTATACATCTGCCGGGAACCCAAGGATGCTCTGGTTTCTTACTGGTTGTTCACGAGGAAGGCGTCGCCGGCGTGGGGAGTTGATGCGCAGTCATTCACGATCCAGGAGGCATTCGAGCTATTCTGCCAAGGCCGCTGTCCTGATGGCCTAATGGCAGCATGTCCTCCAGTACTGGGAGAGAGCGTGAGGAGACCAGACAGCAGGGTGTTGTTCCTTAGGTATACGAGGAGATGCTCCTTGCGCCGGAGAGTCACGTCAAGAAGCTAGCAAGGTTCATGGGCTGTGAATTTTCCAAGGAGGAGGAGGAGGGCAGGGTTGTGAGCGCCATCGTGGAGCTGTGTAGCCTGGCCAAGCTGAGGGACATGGAGGTGAACAGAAATGGAAGCACTAGGATGGGGATCAAGAACGAAAGCTTCTTCAGGATGGGAGTTGCTGGGGACTGGAGCAATCACATGACGCCGGAGATGGCGCAGAGGCTAGACAAGATTGTCGAGGATGCATTGCAAGGGACTGGATTCACCTTTGCGAGCACAGCATGAGCCACTGCAGAATGCCAATGTCAACTCATTTTATCGGTATTGCTGGTTGGAGATCATACCACCCATGGTGAGCAATCATCTTCAGTGATGATGGAGGGAAAACATGGACTTCATCTAATCATCTTACCGGAAATAAATTATTGTATACAATCCGTTTGTATAACTTTTGTTAAAAAACCATAGTCTGTGGTGTCTTGTCACGCTAATAAAACCATATCTGTTACTCCGTCCGTCTTAAATTATACGTCATTTTGGTTTATGCTATGCACCTAGATTACTCCCCTGCGTCCCAAACGACCTATAATTTTGATCGAAGGAGTATTATATAAAGTTCATCATAAAATATGTGCCGTCACTGGTTACATTTGTCTTAATAAAATTCGTCATAAACTGATGGATCAGTTTGGGCAGACCTGGAAGAAGTTGTTTGCTGTAGGGAAGAAGCTGTCCTTCTTAGGTAGGCATGTGTCTTTGGCCAGTAGTTTTACCTGGTGGTTTGTTCCAGTCGTTAGCTTGCTTGTTGATTTAGACGTGATACCTGTTACATGTATTGCTGTAATGCGTGGGCTTTCACCTTGGTTGCTGTAAACTGTTCCTCGTCTGATTGGAAGTTTGGAACGGCCTCGAACTGGTTTTTTCTCCCTAGTAATATTATAATATACTCCCTTCATTTTGAATTATAAGTCGCTTTGATTTTTTTATACATAGAATTTGCTACATTAAGATGTAACTTCTAGATGCATAGTAAAATAGATATAAAAAAAAATCAGATGACTTATAGACTGAGAATGGAAAGAGCAGCAATACATGTCCTGTGCTAACATATACTCCATTGAGATGAACCGTGGGAGCAAGTAAAGTTGCTTCCAGGTAGTAAGGTAGCTATTCCTTTTCTAGAGTTATAACTTTTAGTGTTGATGTCGATATCTTGCTTCTGTTTAAAAGTTATTGCTGTAGAAAGGAGAACTGTATCACTCAATGTCGATTAGTCACTGTAACTAACTTATTATCCAAACCTAAAGATAAAAAGTTATTGCTGTAGAAAGGAGAACTGTATCTGTTAGTGTCGATTAGTCACTGTAACTAACTTATCCAACCTAAAGATAAAAAGTTATTGCTGTAGAAAGGAGAGCAGTATCACTCAATAATGTCGATTAGTCACTGTAACTGTCTTGTCGATAACTTGCATGATGCCTAGAGTATGATTTAGACTTCTTTCCTTCCAATAAGAAGAAATATATTTTTGTTTATTTAAAAAAGATGAAACATCCTCGAAGAAAACTTAAACCTAGCTGGCTAGCTACTGCGCAGTGCGCTCAAACCGCATCATCGGACACTGATTAAGCGAGGCGTACTTCCTAGAATCACGGGCCGAGCATTGTTATGGGCGGACCAATGGTGGAACGGACACTGATTTCCGCAGCAGCAGCAGCAACAACCAATTGGGCCTGGCGGGCAGAATACAAAAAGAGAACGTGCGTGCACACCCGGCCGCCCTGGGGGCTGCTGGTAGCGGCGACCGGCGAGTACAATATTCCGCACGCAGACCGCGAGCGCGAGGACCTTCCGCGGCCGCCAACGCCCTCCAGGCGTTGCAGGCTTGCAGGTTGCAGCTGCATCTGGAGAAACGCAGCAAGTTCGCCGGCCGGCGACGGGCCCTGCTTCCCCACGTCGTCGCAGCGTGTGCGTGTTCTTGCCAGGTGCGCAGAATCCTTCCCCCTCCCCTTCTTGTCATTCCTCATCTCTTCCGCATTTCTATCTACTATACTCCTACTAGGGGAGGTCAGTACCGGCGCTAGGGGCAGGACATGAGGTGCAACGGCCGAGAACCCAAGCGAAGGAGGGGCTAAGCCGAGAACCCAAGCGAAGGAGGGGGCTAAGCCCAGTATACAAACCCCAGGTCCTATAGTCTATTAGACATTAGCAAACTAATAAGAAGAGATATAGAACTGGTCATGCGGCTCAAAAAAGACAATATCGGCATTTCTTTTCTAGTTTTTCCCCACGGCTTCCAGATAGAGAGGAAGCGAGCGATCACCACAGACACAAAGACACTCGATCGTGGAGTTCGCGACGGCGCCTTACACACGTGGAGTCCGGGTGAGCATGCGGCTAACTGCCAAGCAAGAGCTAGATTACACCGGAGACACTGAGGACACGGGCGCACGAGGACGGCGACTGCAGGCAGGCTCCCACGACGACGACATTTTGATTCTTGGCTTCACCTAATCAGTGCGATCACCGATCGCTTGTTTAGGCCCAGGTATTTTTTCCTTTTATTTTTAATCCAAATTAATTATTTGTGTAGTATTCTAGATTTCTAGTACTTTGTACCCATATAGTCATATTTTTCTTCTAATTTAGGTGTTAGAATTTTAGAATGTTACCTAAGAAACATTTGTCATGGATGAGAAAAGAAAACAAATATATTGTTTTTTAATCTACATTGTTCATCGATAATTATCATACATCTACAAATATATTTGCTTAATCTACATTGTTCCTCGATAATTATCAGACATGTTAAATTAAAATATGTTATTAAATTTGCTTTCATTTTGCAAATAAAATTAGTGCTTATATATTATAAGATTTTATACATATTCAAGAGGGGCCATTGTACTGGCGAGATCGCCGTGAGAGCCCTTAAAATCCTAGGACCGGCACTGGGGAGGTTTGCCAGTTGGAAGCTGGAGACACTTGATGCAGTTCTCGTCGACGCTATTAGTTCATATCTGGGGCAGCATGCATGTATTTGTTACTAAAGTTTTACTTATTCATTGCATATGTTTACCTATACAATGATGATTGGCCTTGCTACTTATTAAGGGTCCGTTTGGCAAGAGTTCCAGAGCAATTTTAGGCCGAATGCAAGAGCTCTATCAAACAGTATTTATAATGAAGTGATTTTGTACCCAACAGCTAGTACATGTTTTATAGACGTATTTTGCAGATTAATATTTCCATTCCTGTGTTTGCACTATATCTATGCTAGTTTTTTGCCAAAGGTTGATTGTGACTTTTAGCACCCACATTTTCTGATGATATATATTTTTTTCCAGTTAAAGATGAAACAATGTTTCACATATTCACATTCCGATACAAAAAGTTGAGAATCATCTGCAGCGAACCGTGCTGCAGGAATGAAAAACAGTATGGAGTCTACCTACTGTAACTACGAGAGAAATAACTTTGGGTACTGCTAAGCTCCGAAAAATAACTATAGGGCACTGCTCATCCCTCTCCAGTTGGGTGGAGATGCGTGTCTATAAAAAAAATCAAATGAAGGTAAAACTAAAATGAAAATTAAGCCAGTGACAAAGGAACATAACATATGCATTACTGGTAGGTAAAGTCACTGAACAGACTAGCAGGTACAGTACATCTTTAGCTATTTAACGGCTTACATGCAAAATTTGTAGTAGTCCCTATACTCATACAATATACATACTCATGTGGTTCAAAATGGACAGTTGGGTTTGCCAAGAAATTGCCAGAAGTATAGCTCACTGCTTGACGCTTGGCCCTTCATTGAGCCGGCTTGCCTACTTCAGACTTTTGGAGCAATAATCCAATCGTCTACAAGACTAGTGTTGGGTTGAATTTCCGAACACCCTTGAAGCTTTAGGCATAAGGGTTATGTGATCATGTGGGCTTCTCTCTCTGGTGAGAGAGCACTGCTGCTTGGCCGGGTGGCCACCGGCGATCACTCCGATCCCCGGTGTCCACCGCCTCACGCTTGGCGACCACTCTAGTCCCGGGCGCCCACCACCAGCAACGCTTCACTTGCTCAGAGCGGTCCACGCCGTCCATCGGCACGACATGAACACGGCTCTGCTCCCGCCACTCCACAGGCCGGCGAGGTGAATAGGCCTGTTTAAAAAAAACAAACTCAAGCGGAAGTTAAACTCTAGGTGCGGCCTCGCCTCGCCCTCTACAGAGAGTTCAACACAAACCAAACTTGGTAGAGATGTCCAGTGATGAGTTCACTAAGTACATGCACTCACAAACTTACTCATAACCAAGTAGATCAGTGGAACACAAATAATGGAATTCAAAACATAAAAAACACAAGACACATGATTTATCCCATGGTTCAGCTCATACCAAAGGCTTGCCTAT